AGATAACATCAATTGTTAAATCTCTGATATAGGAACTGGAACTAAAAGAACAGATCATGTTAGTTTCATCTGGATCACTGCTTTCATGGATTTATTTTCACATTTCAATAATCCATAATGTATTGATTTAATGAAGCCTCTCTCACATACAGATTCCAAACTGTAGCAAGGTGCTTAATCCTGTGTTTTTTATTAAAGAATTCCATCCATTGCTTAGGCACATTTTTCTGTCCATGAATCCAGAGGAAAATATGATGCACCACACAGTGAGATGTAAACTACATGTTAGAAAGGTCTGAAAGGACAAAAGCTAGAGCCAGAAATACAAGTTAATTTTTTCACCTGAACTACAGACAATCAATTTCCAAAGGAGACCAAAGGCAGAACACTCATTAAGCTGCCACTCACAAATTAGAGGTAAAAATGAAGAAGTCTGATGGACCCAGTTTTGGTTGATAATTCCTGGCTTTGAAAGGGGCAAGGTGAAAATTCAGCCTGCCCTGATGTAGCTCAAACTGGGCAACATAATCCTGGTATGGATCCAAGTAACTATTACTTGTGAAAATTTTGCTCATAAAAGCATCTGGCATTTCTTGGGATGCCAATGCGAGCCTATTTACAATGCACATGCTCTCCTCAGAAGGGACATGTGTTCTCCTGGCTGGAGTGCAATCCAATGCCATGGGAGGGATTTCTTTTCATTCTTTTAAAAATAATTTCCTTTTTAATACTCACTTCATACATGTCAGTGCAGTTCAGGTTGCAAGTTAGTGAAGAGATTCAATCTCTTTCTGCCTTTAAAAATTTGAGGTGGCATTTTAGTAAACATCAGCTCGGTGAAAAGATTATTCTGTTGTTTGTGTTATTGCAAGTTTGGTATGGTTCCATAAAAGTGTTTTTTTGTGTAAGCCAGCACTTAGCTCACGGTTTAATTTAATCAATAGTAGTGGCTCTACTTTGTTGCAATTTAATAACATGAAGTCTTAGGAAAGAATAAAAGTTACAATATGCAGAGTAGAAAGAGGTCAACATTATTTGCTATTTCCACATGTATCTCTTTCAGCTGCCTGAATTTAGTAGTAGAACTTCCTCTCTGCTACCTCATGACAGCTCTCAATGGACTAAAGAGCAGATGAGAAGTTCTGCTACCTCATGACAGCTCTCAATGGACTAAAGAGCAGATGAGAAGTTTTTCTCCCCTCCCTTTTGTTTGTACAGAGACCGTTTTAATAATTATTTTGTCAGGATCTGAGCCAGAATACTCTGGGAGCAGACAAATTACAGCATGCTCCTAAGGAACTTTACTGGCTTTCTGAGAACCTGGAATTAAGGCTTGTATATTTGCAATACAAACTATAAAGAGAGTCATTCTTTAGCAGAGAGGACTCACAATAATAAAATAAAATTCTCCTCACTATTACAGTCAAAGCCAGAAAGAGAAGTCACCAACTCTCTGGGTTTTTTCTCCCAAAATCTTTTAGCAGAAGAACTGTCCAATTCATGGAAAAAAATAACAGGATCTAATAATTCAAAAACCAACAGCCTAAGTGAGATTAACAGATTTTTTTTTTTTTTATTAACTCCCTTTGCAGCTGAATTAGAATTTCATGTCAGAAATTCAGACATCCCTCACCTGGTAACTGTGAAATTAATTTGGTGGTATTGCACATCTTATAGATGTGTGCCCAATGAAATGGCTAAGGTGCTGTCAGGCATGTGTTCTCCTGTTCTGTTCATTACCTTTGACCCTCCTTCTCCTTTGGTCATCTCCACAGATGAAACAATGAGCGCCATGGTTTGAGCTCTGCCAGCATGTGGAAAGTCTCAGCCGATCCTCTGTATATGGGGAGAGAGGCTCTCTCTGAAGGGCATGTTACAGGTGTGCAGAGGTGTCCTAAGTCCTGCCCTGCAGGGGGATGACCACCTCTCCCCATGGCTGAGTGAGGACACAGCAGAACTTCAGGGGAAGCCCCAGGAAGACAAGAAGGCTGCACAGGGAATGGCCGGACACAGCTCCCTGGGGCTGTGGCTTGACACACAGAACTGGAAGGCAGCCTTTGCCTGAGCAGTAATTGAGATAGTTGCTACACCAAAACAGGACCTTATAGACTCTTCTCACAATTATATAGAAACCTCCACTTTTTCATGTACCTTGACTTCCAACAACACTTGCTATAAACAAGCATTTTATTAAAATGTCAAGTTTCAGTCCCTGAGGGTGCACTAAAAAGACTGACACAGAAACCACTGGCTCCAAGAAATTCCCTAAAATCTTTGTGAAATAAAAGAGGGAGAAAAAAGAGCAAGGCACAAAACACAAACTTGCCATACTTGGAGGCAGATATATTCCCCTCCTGAGCCCTTCTAATAATTCACTTTCATAATTCAAAAATGGTCACAAATTTTTCTATGAGTGAAAAGCCTGCTTAACCTTCAGCAGCAAAAACATCCCCTTATCCTGTTTGTTTTATTACACAAATCTTCCAGTCACTTAAAAGCAGAGATGAAAAACAGAAAACTAAGACAAAGTTAAGCCTGTATCTGAGGTCTCTTTTTATCTCAAGATGAAATAAGCACCTTGGGGAAGAGTCTTCTTAAAACATGAAATGCATTTCCTGGAGTATTGTCTTGGTTTTAAAGCAGTAACTAAAAAAATAACTTATTTCTTGCTGTGAAATATGAATTAGAACAAGAGCAAAACAGGCTTAAAACTTAAAAAGGAATAAACAAAGTTTATTAACAAAACTACAAGAATAAGAACACCAGAATAAACCTCCAGAAAAACCTTTTTATCCCCCACTACCCAACCATTCCCTTGCTCACATGACAACATAGAGACAAAAAACTTTGGAACTTTGGTGTTTAAATCAGTCCCAATTCCTGTTAGAGTCTTTTCATCAGTCTTTGTAGAGAAACTAAAGTCTTCTTCTGCTAATCTATGGAGTTTCTCACGAGAAAACTATCTCTGTTATAGTTTTATATTTCTCTGGTGCCAGCTGCCCGGAAATCTTGTCATCAGTTCACTCCTCCCATTTCACATCACTCTGAGGTGTGTATGGGCCATGAGACTAGGGATATCATTTTTTAAGGATGAGTTATTCAAAGGCAAAAGTCCTCTTCATCTGTCTCTGTGAGCTTCACTGGAAACAGTTTTCTCTTTGCCCTCAAGGCCTCAAATCTTCGCTCCACTCTGTTCCAGCACCTCACTGTATCACAATTACTCCACCTCTTACTCAAAATCCACACTTTGAACACTCCACCCCTCCCAATATACTCTGTCATGAATTAAAGGAATTTTTTTCAGAACACTATTGTCCATCTCCATAGCTTTACCAGAAAAATATTTCAGCTTATAAAGCATCTCCTTATTCTCTCTTCCCCATCAAAAACTTAACTCTTTTCTTCACTGTCTTCTTCATGTTGATTGTCTCTCTCTCTCTGTCTCTCTGGGAAAAAAGAGTAATCTTTACATTTTATCCAGGTAGTAAAAGAGTTAAAGTCTTAGAAAAGCTGCAGATGTTCATGGTGTCAGGTTTCAGTCCAGCAGCAGAAACTACAAACCAAGCCAGGCTGGCCGGCTCTGTTTCTCTCCCCCCCGCCAGCACCTTTTTCAGGCCTGGAGGAGGGGAGGAGGCCGAGACAGAGCCTCGTTACCTTTTCAGAAGCCAAAAACCAAAGAGAGCAAGAGAACTCTGGCTTAAAGCATGTAAATGGCTTTACATCTTAAGGTGGTGTTCACAAGTTGATCTCACTTTTCAATGGTCAAAACTGCTGTCAATTCTTAGAAATGACCGATAATTAGTCAGGAGAAAAGACTCCCATCAGCGATCAGCAGCTTCAACTTCCTTAGCTTCCAAAGCTATCTTAAAGGTAAAATCACCCCATGACAAGTATCTGTGGCCTTAGTTTCCACAGGAAATAGGGAATATCTTGGTACTCTGAAATTCCAGCTACTGCCTGCATATTTAGACCTTTAAAAGTCTGATTCCAATTAAAAAGTAATATAAATTCATACTTGAGGAGGCACTTACTTAAATAAGGAGAAACACCCCTCCCAATAACAACACAAAAAAGTCCTGATGAACAAACTTCCATCTTTTTCCATGTGGATTGTTAAGCACCAAAGTATGGCAGTGGACATCCTCCATTTGCACAGGTTTGAAGAGAGATCTCTGCAGCCTGAGGCAAAACCATGTTGTGGTTGCACACAGCATCCTTGACTCACACCACCCAGCCCTAAAACTAGGAGAAGTGAGTTACAAGTGAAGAAAGAACTGCTTGGGTTGATGACTCTCAGGAATGACAACATCCAGAGGTAAGAAAGGGATGATGATACAGCATGACCCACATGGTGATGGGTCCTGGGCTCTTTGGAGTTGTCACAGGGTTCCTCTGGCCCTTGTACTCCTCTCTGTTGGGACAGAAACTCCAGCTCCTTCCTTGAGGCTGTGGGGAAGAGCACAAAGGCACTGGCTTCCAGAAACACAGAAACTTGTGAAGTGGAGGGGAACTTGGCACTTTAGGCGAGTATCAGCAGGAGTGGATGCAGCTGGAGCAAAACATTCCTTTCAGCTTCTCCCTGAAGCAGGGACACAGTCCACAGGGGTGGGAGACTCTCAATCCAGGCTGGCCACCAGCACCCAGGTTCTCCAAATCCCAGCATTGCCCAGGGAAAGGCAGTGACAGGAGGAGACATCATCCAGCTACAGGCAGTCCATGCTGACTGGTGCCACCACTCTGCTCCCCACGGAAAACCTTGGCAAGGATGGGGGATAAGACACAGGGCCATGGACACATGATGCAGGTGGCCAAGGGAGAGCAACAGGGAAACGCAGAAGTTGAAAACAAGAAAAAATATTTTCATCTTTCTCCTCACAACATGCACTTGGTGTGGACATTGCTTGCTGACATCAGCAAGAGGCAGACTGTGACATCACTGAGTGCAGGATTGTGACATCTCACCCCTCACTGCTTAAATATAGATGTGGGCAGAGCTGGGGCCAGTCTGGCTCTGGCCTGAAGTCCTTCCAAACATGACTGTGAGGTGTGGAGAGTCAAGCCAGGTTTCTCTGGTGCTGAGTGGTGTCTTTTCTTGGCAGGTCCCAGTGCCAGTCCCAGAGCAACCAGCAGTGTCTCCGCAGCCCTGCCTGACTTGGGCAGCACTTACTTGCAGCACTGGCAGGAAATAGCCCCTGGTTGGGTGTGGACAGGTGACTGAGGCTCTGGGGAGGTGGGAGGTTGTCCTTATTCTTCCTCCCCTCTCCTGCAGGGTGTGACACCAGCGAAGGAGAGCAGCTCCTGATCCTCAGCCCTTCTCAATGTGCTGCATGGGCCAAGTATGGCCACAGAGATGGGTGGCAACTGTGCCATCTGTCAGGATATCTGGAATGACATGGCCTCTGCTCTGCCCTGTGGCCACCAGTTCTGCTGGGAGTGCATCCTGCAGTGGGCACAGACAAATCCATCATGCCCACTGTGCAGAGGAGCAATAGAATCTGTCAGGTTTTCTGATGATGCAGGTGACTATCTAGAGATTGTCATCACAGCCCCTGAGCAGCTGCCAGTGGCCATGAGCCAGGCAAGGAGAGCTCCTGGTGACCAGGACGAGAACAGCCCCCATCCACCTGTGCTGGTCCATCCCTCTTCTCCTCAAGAGACACCAGCCCGAGCTGGTCCATCCCTCTTCTCCTCAAGAGACACCAGCCCGAGCTGTCGGCGGTGTTATGCCTGAGGTCTGGGCACAACTTTTTCGTCAACAACAGGAACTTCTGGGCCCTGTGCGGACTTGGCTGAACCAGAGGATGGAGGCCATCCATAGGAACCAGTGGTGGATGGCAAGGAGCACACAGAGTGCTATCCTGCATGCTCTCTGTGTGTATGGGCCAGACCGGGAGACTATGATCCAGAGTTTGCAGGGCGTGCTGGAGGAACACACAGTGACACTGGTCCAGGGCACCATTGACATCATTGTGAGACACTGCAGCTCAGGGGCCCAGAGGCTGCTGCGCTCCCACACTACTGGGGATGAGGATGACAGCCCAGCAGCCAGCAGCAGCTCCAGCAGCTCCAGTTCCATCTTCTCCAGCTTCTCCAGCCCAAACAATCCCAACTCCTCCAGCCCAAAGAGCCTCAGCTCCAGCTCCTCCATCTCTTGGACATGGACCCTAGCTAGCAGCCCTGAAGTTTCCACAGAGGAAGAAGAGGAAGCTGCCACAATGGAGGCCAACCCTAGCAGGGGTCAAAGCCACCCTTCAGTTGTGCCAGTGTCCCCAGAGCAGGACCAGCCCCAGGAGGAGGCAGGTCCCTCTGTCCAGAGCACCAGCCCCAGATACTCTGGTCCCACCCAAGGTAGGCACTGCTCACCTGGGCCACCCCAGCGGTCCCTGAAGAGAAAGACCCCTGACCCTGAGGACTCTCCCCACCCCTGCAAGAGGCACCCCCACCAGTAGCACTAGCAAGGTTCTTTCAACCCCTTAATTAAGAAAAAAGAAATAAATTGTTATTTCCCTCACACAGTCTCTGGGCTCTGCTTCCTCAGCCTTCCCTTTTTGCCCCACCATGGGTGGCACCCGTGTCCTGTGTGGCATAGCCAAAGGCCCAGGGCCATGTGGACAGCACCTTTTCCCACAGAAAATCCAGTGCTCCAATCTCTCTGGATGTCTCTGCATAGTGTCTTTTCCCTCAAGAGAGTCAACAGCATCTCCCAGTTTGAGATCAGCAGCAGCCCTGAATTGGGACATTTAACTGCAGCATTCCAATTTTTGAAAAATCACAACTTTCTCCTCCAGCCAAGCTTCCAGCTGTCACTCACTTGGTCATTTCCCATGAGGTGTCCGTCCCACAACAGCATAGTCTTAAAAACGAGATTCACTTAATAAATTATAAAAAGAATTTAATATAAACAAAAGACAATTAGGAGACAAAAGAAATAAAGCAAAAGGTTAAAACGGCCGGGTGCCCTGGTGGGTTACCAGGAACACACCTGGTATCTCAGGAGTGTCTTTTTTATCCCATCTTTGCTGTGAGAGGTTAATGCATATTCAAGCATGTCCCCTCCCTGGTTCCACCTTCTTGGATCATGTTATTTTCTGCTGGTCAGCATAATTTTTGCTGGTTATCATTATTCTAGCTGGTCAGTATTATTTTGGAGTTTTTGGTTTCCTTTCTGCTGCAGATGGTCACTTGTTGATAAGAGTCCAGGCCCCTTATACTTCCTCAGAGAGCAGATGGGCTTCATATCTTTCCCCCTTGCCAACGTCCTGGTACCGGCTTTTTGGTAACAGTTTGCTCTCCATTTCCTGCTGCTGATAATAGCCTGTTTTCCACAGCTTGATCCTCCCATTGTCTTGCCTGTTGGAGTTATCTTGCCTTCTCCAGATGAGACATATCCTTACCATTCAGAATTCCTATCTAAGCCTGTAACTTGCTAAGAGAGAAAAGAATATAGTGAAAGCATATAATATATTTATCAGAATAATTGTGAAAAGCCAATATTTACAACATGAATTCACAACAATAGGTAGGCCCACAGGACCCTGCTGGGAGCTTGGCTGCACTGATTCAGACACATTTTTATTTATTCCCACAATTGTGTAGCTTGAATGATACAAAGAGGCTTTTGTTTGGTCAGCAGTGGTGCCAGACTGCACCTTGCTGGCACAGTGCTCTTCCCATTCTTCAGGATTCAGGTGTGGAGGTCAGCTCAGCAAAGGCTAGAGGAGAAAAGTCAAGCTGCACCCCTGGGGCACCTTTTGTGTATTTGCAGATTTCCTTTGTTCAGGGGCCCACATGCTGTCCTTTGGAGTGTGTCCTTGTCACCTCAGGAGTGCTCCCAGGGTGGAGGCCTGGTCTTGTCATTGTGCCGATGAAAGAACCGTTGCAAAAACAAAAGGCCCTGCTGGGTTTGGAGCTCCCCTGTGGATGGGCTTAGCAGCTGGTCTGCAGGCCAAACAATTGAGTTAGCAGAAGTTGAAATTAATAAAATACTAGTTTATCCATAGCTAGGAAGAAAGCAAGGCTGTTAGTATGAAAACTGATAAAATAGATACATAAGGGATATTTGCAATTAGGGGATACATGCATTAGTGAGCAGCATACGTGCTTTAATAATCTGTTGCAAACTCCTGCCAATTAATTATTGACGTTAATTGCTTTGTACCAATAAAATACAATGAGCTATTGCTTTGTCAAATTAATATTGACATGATGAGCTATTTTGATGTAACTAATGACTTCAGATCATGCTTTGTTAAGGGTATAAAACTTGAGAGCACCTTGTAATAAAGAAGCCACTGTTGTCTCTGCAAGTGTGTGTGTGTGTGTGATGTGTGTGTGTGATGTGTCTGTCTCAACAGCAACACCCCTCTAGACAAAACCCATTTACCAAGCAAGCAAAGCTGAACAGTCCCACAGCTCTAAACACAGGTGCAAAATGTCCTTATACCCATCACCCTTGATCCAGCAGGGCTGCAGAGAGCACAGACTCTGACTTTCAAACCAGAAGGGACAAAATCTTGTGCAGAGCTTGGTCTGAAAGGCCTGGATGTGATGGCCTCTCATAGCAAGGCATCGAGAGGTCCTGTGAATATTGACCAGGATTGTCCCCATGAAACAATGGCAAGGTGTCAGGAGCAGGGATTAGAGACAGGGCCCAGGACATGTGATGCAGGTGACTGAGGAAGAGCATCACAGAGAAGTAGAAATTGAAACTAGGAAACAGCATTTCCTTTTTTCTCCTGACAACATTTGCCGGCAGGGATGGAAGGCCTGCTGTGTTAGTCAGTGTTCAGCTCCAGCAGTGTTAGAAATGAACTTTTAGATACAATTAAATTAAAAGACATCAATGCAAAAGAAAACTGTTTATTAGTAATGATTCACCTGAGCTGCATCTATGCCCCTTTTTCCCCCAGGAGCCGAACACACACACCCTCCAAAACAACGACTACATTTTATAGCCTTTCCCAGCTGGGGGGAGTACTTGTCCCCTTTCCCATTGGCAGGGTATTTGGGAGTTTGTAGTCTCTCCTGACCACCTGCTTTTCTGTCCCCCCTATCCCCATCCTACTTCCTTTTTTGTCAGGTCTTCAACCTGGCTGCTTTCCCAGCTCATGGCAACACCCAGCAAATTAACTAGAGCAAATCCAAACCATAAATAACAACACATAGAACCAACAACTTCCATCTTTTTTCCTAATAACCTTTTGGGTTCAGCAAAATATTACCTCAATTCTCACTACAGGGTAGAGGACTCTAATGTCACCAACCTGTGGATGGTGACATCAGGTAGCACCGGATTGTGACCTCACGTCCCTCATTGCTTATCTTGGGGTTCCAAGGACTTGGAATGCCTTTTGCGTTGTCA